TTTTGTGTCCTCGGTCCTCAGTCCCATCCATTCACCAAGCGGCCAGTGCTTCTTTTCCTAGGTGCCAGGCTTGCTGTAGGAAAAGAAGCAAGTGGCTTCTGCCAAGTGATTGTTCGTTGGTTCCTTTTCATTTCTTAAACAGCTTCTTGACACACAAGACTTCTCTATCATCAAGACTGTGTGACGGGATGTGACGGGTGATCGAATCTTTACCAGCTCCCTTTCAAACATGACCGAAAACCAGTAATCAGCTTATACTACCCGAAGCAAAGTGATCATCTTTGTGAAACACATGCACAGTCGACCTTCACAGTCGTTCTGAGTCCCCCTTGCCTTGCGAGTGTGAACAAAACAAACAAACAAACTCGACAGATTCTCGAAAGCCTTGTAGAACTATCCTCAGGACTCATGTCTACTAGCACAGGGAAAACCGACCCCGACATTGAACATCCAACGTTGTGGGAGTGAAATCCACGTTGTGGACACTTTGAGTGAACATCATAAGCTGAATATGTTACTTGGGGACTCATGACTTTCCTCTTCTTCGATTAATTTTCGACGCTTTATGCCGGTGCGGCCAGGGCCACGCGGCTACTCCCATCGCGAAGCGCTTTATCCCGTCGGCGCCGACTGGGGCGGAGCTGATGGAGGACGAGCATCAAAGAGCTTCAGATCTTCTCGTCCGGAAGACGCTTGCAGGATGGGTGGCCCCCACCTCCTGATTCCGGATGGACAAATAAACAAATCACCACCCACTGACAGAAGCACAGGCTTCTGACCTTGAGGTTGGGTGTGGATTCAATTCAAGATCCATCGCTTCCGACCCCCTAAATTTTAAAAGAAATCCATCGGGATGGAACATGATGGAACAAAAAACAGGTCAAAAACTTGTTGCTCGTCCCTTTGCATCCCTTTCCCAATCTTTGCCCAGTGAGGACAGATTCATGGACAGTGTCTGGCACCACTTGAGCTCACTTCTAGCTACATGGAATGAACAACACCCTTCGACTGTGCCTCCCTCAACAACCACGGTCCCCAGCTTGCGCAAAAGAGATCTTAGCGCTCGGATGCACCTCCTTGATACACAGCATTGGGTATGAAGTGGATGAACAAAAAGGGTTTGTGAGTATCATGAGTTCTTCCTGACCAAATGATTTAAGGGCCTCAAAGAACTGTGTAAATCATTGTAAATCCAACATCACCATGACCCCTCTGCATTGAACGCAGCGTGACAAAGCAAGAGACAAGAAGAAAAAACATAATAAAAAACGCAAAGACTGACTAAGAGGTAAACCCTTTCCACCAAAAATGAACTACCAGCCTTGGAATTGATGGATCCAATGGTCCTTCTCACCCTTACCAGGGACACGGGGACCCCTCTAAGCGGCAAAAGAAACATCTTTCGCGCCTAGGTACATATACAGGAACGCGGGGTTTGGTAGATGTTTTCATGGAGGTGTCTTTTGTCATTCAACATGCACCCTTGCAGTCTTTTCCCACTCCCTGGCGATAAGATTTGACCACTTAAAACCCTATACCAGGGCCCCGCAATATGGTCTAACAATGGCCCCTTAGAGGCTGAGGAGTGTCCCTCAATCACCCCTTGTGGGCCCTGGTAGCTTGTGGGCCCTTTATTTTGGATCCTCTGCCCTTCCAGTCCACCCTCGAAAAGACTCTCACGGCGATTCTGGATGATCTCAAGTTTCGAATCGTCATCAATGCGCTTGATGATGTCTAAGGATTCTGGCATTGGCGCCTCGCCCGACAGATGCAAGATGGGTGCCAGCTTCTTGCCGATCAATGCCTGGGCGAGTATGGAACAGCTTGAAACAAACACTCGGTGTTCAAGTATATAGAAATACTCTCCTGTTTATCCTTGGTCCGTCCTGTGCTTATTGTCTTCCACTTTGTCTTCCTTATTGATAGATTGAATCGAAATGCGGCGCCAATCTCAAATAAAGACTTGCTGCAAAAAACAAAATCTGCTTCCAAAGTTGTGTGTTCTTTGCCCACAGGACAGCTCATGAGCAAGGTTTTTCAGGGTGGCAGGTGGGCCTGGAACAAATCATTGAAATGACCTGTTCCTCGCAAACGGCACACGCATGCAAATGTGTATTCAAACGTTGCTAGTACTCACCCCTCTTCGCCCCTGTGTCTCTACAAACTGTTTGACCGTTGGATATGCTCCGCAGCGGCACCCGCGATTCGGAGCACCGTACAACCAGGATGTTGAAGGGATGGAACATAAATAACGATATTTCTTAATTACGAGGTTTCCACGAGTCGAGTTAAGAAAAGCACTGACCTCAATATACTCTTCCATACGCTGGCATTGTACAGATGTGAAAGCAACGCAGCTCGAGGAACGTTGTAGACAGGGCCGACCTCCTCGCATCAACGGCCCGAGATGCGGTGGGGGTTTCCACATCATCGTAGGACATGAAGATCAAACGATGGGGGATCTTCTTCAAACCGAAGATCATACGAGCTCGAGTGCAGAAAGGGCAAAGATCGTAGACCTCGGCATCTTTTCCACGCGCAACACATTTTTCTGTGACTAACGCCATCCCTCTGCGTGAAAAAAAAAACACGGCGGCCATGTCCAGGCAGGCGGGGTTTGGTTGGGCTTTCCGTTGTGACAGTGTTCTTGGTGGGTCCATTTTAAGACTGATAGACTCAGACTCATATAATATATATATATGATTATAACATTATATAACTAATAGTTATCTCCTGAGGTTGTACATGGATGATGTGTGCCCTACACAGAACACCACCGTTAGCCTTCTTCCAAGCAGCTACATGCGCCGAACCACAAAACCTTCAAACCTGAGATTCTGCAGAAGCTTATGGATTTTTGGAATCGTTCACGCAGTTGGTCGCGCGATGTTCCAAGGATGACTCGCCTAGCGAAATAGGACGGGATAGGACGGGTCAGAAATACTATGCAGTATAATCTAATGCAAAGATGCTTGATAAATCTCCCACATGAAGAGGCTTTTCAATTCAAACAGGGGGAGATCGGGGGAGGGGGAGGTTATTAATCAAGATACATGACTATCGACCCCTTCGGAACGCGACGACAGGACCCGCGGCAGTGACACGAAGGACTCGGCACCACGTCGGACCAGACCTGGGACCAGGTCGTCTCTCCGGTCGCCTCCGGTCGTCCCTTAAGTCTTTCTCAAGCGGGTTGTGATAGCGTCAAAAAGCGGCTTTTTCCGCTTTGACCCTTGAGTGTACTAGAAAAAAGCGGACAACATGGAGGTCACGGAAGGCCAACGCTGACATCAAGATCGTCCTGGCTTGGACTTTCGGTCCAAAAACCACCGGATTTCGCCACCCTTGGGTGATGTCACCCAAGAGTTGACCCTCAAGCGTGACAGTCTCACTTTTCCCATGACCTGTGACAGTCACCCTCTCACCCCCTCCACACATCCAACCACCGTCCAGGACACGTAGAGATCAGGTCGCTGCCACCGCGCAGGTCCCGGACCACGCGCGGTGCTCGCGCCCACCGCGCGAGCACCGCGCGGCGCGGGGCGGACCGAGGAGCGCGAGGACCGCGGAAGGATGCTTGGCGCGCGGCTCAAGGCCGTCATGGCGAGCCAGCTTCACGTCTGGAGAAGTCTGTAGAATTGGGTGTTCTCAGAGTAAGCAAATAGACTCAGTAGACACTTCTCCAGAAGGGTAGATACTGTGAAAACTTGATACTTGCTCTGTGTGTATCACACTGGCGTTCAAGCAAGTAGACATATATATATATACAATATACATACATATACTGTGATACTGTTCTTGGACGCCAGGTGAAGGACTCAGGAAGGGTTTGTGGATCTTGTTGCATGGTCACAGAAATGTGATTACCGGCAGGAACCACATCATTTTGGTATAGAAGCCTTGTTGAGGGGACAAAATCAATGGCATCGCAACTCTTCTCGATGGGTTGGTCAGCCAGGGTCAGGTGGTGAGCGTCTGGAGTTGAGTCTAAAGTAGGAGCTACGCAAAATGGCTGTAGCGGAGATCTTCTTGTGGTATACGAGACCTTTCTCCAAGTGCTGCAGCGGACCCTCTGTGTCACTGATGGACAACACATCCAAACCCCCCCTGAAACCGGCAATCATCGGTTCTCAAAGCAATTTTTCCACATCTTCTTCGATGCCTTGCCCAGAACACCATCCCGATGACATCCGATTGGTGGTCACAAATCAAAAATACACGGTTGAGTTGAGTCTTTGCGAAAATCTTCAGGGAACCTGCATTCCTTCAACACATATTATATGCAATGCCTCTCCAACACTATGAGTACAAAGTACAAAGTATCTCTTTGTGGGCAACATCAGCCCTTTTTGTTCCAGCGCCGGGACATCCAGCTCCTATACACAATACATCATATAATATCATTGTTCATCTGTACTGCCTACCCCTGGGTTGTGTACCCCTGGGTTATGTACTGTTTTCCGAATATCACTCTGCCGTCGTCATACTGTTGATGGACAAGAGTCAAATTCACCTGTCCGATGTCCATCATGTGTACTTGGATGTCCAAACGTTCGAACTGGTCCAACCACAACAGAACATGCTTTGACATCAGCATCTTCAAGTGCAAAACGACTGGAACATGTTGTCAAAGAACAGCTCCGTTGTTCTTGGTCTCGGGATGTCTAGGGATAAACAATATGCTTTCATATGCTTTCCCTGTTCCAAGGATGTGTCTGCTATGCAACCTGGTGGGCAAAAGTCCGATGACTACATGTTGATGCTTGCAATGCTTCCATCTAAGTGTTCCCCAGAGGCCATCCTGAGCAATCAATACAAATCAAGTAACTGCGCCTTCCACCACCACCACTCGACCATCCCCACTCCAGAGCATCCTACTAAGAGCCCCTAGCATTCCTCTCTACCATCATCCTTCTACAACTGCTGCGGGTGTCACACGTCCATCTCAAAGGAAAAAGAAAGACAACACGTCTCAACAACCATTAGTCACCCTCAATGATTCAGACCACTGGAGTCTTTCCCATCCACATCATCCACCCCAACAGAAACGGCCAAGACCACCGCGAACTGCCGTGCCGCCCTCGCTTCGACTCGACCCACCGCGGCTCGGACGGACCCCGTTTGGAAGAACCGGCACAGCGGCTCATTGCACGGTCACCCTCCTCCCAAAGGTTTTGGTCCACCCGAACCAAGGCGCAAGTGTAGGTTGCTTGCAGCAAGTGCTCGGCGATCTTCCGTATGATCGGCTCGGGAAAGCCTTGGAAGATCCGACCTCGCTGAGCGCAGCTTGGGAGATCGAGTCATGTCGGGAAAACCGGGAGGTCGACCACGTTCTGAAGCACATGAACCATATATATATATATACATTCAAAAGGTGGTCAAAACAGAATGGGGACGAGCCTTTGGACACTGAGTTTCTGAATTTGGAACATTTGACACACAGAATATCACAGAACAATCACAGAACTGTTCCTCATGAGCTCTATATACCTTGTTCTGCAGCAAAGGGTTCGGTTCAGCTGTGTCCTCCCAGTAGATCGATAGATGGTCGGTTGCCGGGCCTCTCGGCACCACGACACGATCCGCCGATCCGCGCTTCGCGGGGCATCCTGCGGTTCTGTGAGCGACGAATCGGTGTGCATGGATCAACCAAAGTCACACCTTGGAATGATCATATAGACCTATCAAGGAGAGGTTTATATAGGGGTGTACTATATCATCAAAAGTACTATATCATCAAAAGAGTTTATATAGACTATCAAGGATGTATCAAGGGTACCAAGAGAAGTTGAGTGACCTGAAAAAAGGACCATGCGACACGGGTATCTCTATGGGACAGTCTTCCCAAGGCTTCTGGCCCAGCAAGTCGTTGGTCGTTCTACTCCGCGCCCTTCCGGTCCCAGTCGTTGGATTCCGGGTCCGTTGGCCGTTCGCGCTTTCGACTTCGGTGGGTCGGTGGGTCGGCCATTCGCCGAGGATCAAGTGTTCAGAGCGGGAATCACCTGCTCTTGCAGCCACTTCTGCCTCAGCTGAGCTTTTCAAAGCAAGGAACCAGGCAGCTGAAATCCCAATCCAGTAGCTTGGTGTGCCGAACTTGGATGGGCCCATCTATCTGCCCACGATCTATCCACTCACTGAAAGGGAACTATAAGAACCACCCCGTCTTGTGACTCCTGGGTAGTCTCCGGGGTGTCGGTTCCCAGTTTTTTTGCTTGTTTCCCCACTTCCAGTCACTTGCATTGCAGATCAAGATCTCAGGTGCCAACCGCAGGTGGGCGGCGATATCCGGACGAATCAGTGACTGCTATATCATATGACACTGGTCAGCTGGGGGTGTTGGCACTTGAAGAGGATGTCCCATCAATCGTCCCTGCATCAAACAAACTCGCACGGTTGTGGCGTGAAGTTGGTGTCCAAACAAAGACCTATATACTTAGGTGCCACCTCCATCGATTTCGCCCTGTAGGACGGAGATCTTCGCACGATGATCCACATGCTTCATAAACCCCTGAAAAGACCAAACTCTACAAACCATATGTTTAAAATAGAAGCCATTCAGCCGATCATCATGCATTTGCTCACCCACCTGCCAAACCTGCCAGGTATATAAAACATTCTAAAACAATCTCCCCCGCAACCGGCCATCCCCATTTTCCACCACCGCCTGCCTTGGCTTCGTCCCATGTCAATCAAGTCACCGTACACGCTCGACCTCCTTGTTGGCCGAAGCACGCTTCCTGAGAGCTTCAGTCTTCAGAACTCAGTCCCTCTTTCGACCATGCAAAACCACCATGGAACTCATGGAACTGATTTGTTGTAGCCAGGACCCACATAAAACCCAGGTTTTGAGGCGCCTATAGAACGTTGGCTCTGGAGGACCATCATCTCAAGGCGAGAAGACACAAATGATCTCCGGTGTCGGCCGGGCCGCCCAAAAAACGAGATCACACACCGCATAGGTGCTGCGAGCAGGAAGATGTTTGAAGACCCTGAAGAGTCTTTGAAATAGACCATACAAACCTAGCACTTCCAACGGGTGCCCAATGGAGACCTGTAAGTAGGGTAGGGTAGTCTATTGGACACCCATTGGATGATCCTGGAAACTCTCTATATGTTTTTGTTTTTTTACATATAAGTTTATATATAAGCATTTTACTCCGGGCTTGGCCGGATCACCGCCGCGCGACTGGAAAATCTGTTGCAACGACTCGTACTCGTCGGGGAAGGCCGTCACAGCCCTGACGCGAAAGACCAGAAGCGCAGCGACCAGTCCGCTCTGTTTGCATGCGACAAACGCTCACGTTCGTGTGGGGCTGCGGGTTATAAGGTCACGGTCACGTTCTTAAAGCAAAGTAACCAAAGCTTCACAAAAAGGATCCCCAGAAGTTGCAGCTTTGAAGGAGCAGTTGCATGGAAGGCGGAGCGCAAGGATCTCCTTTTCCCCCAAAAGGATCCCCGGGAGCAGCACATGACCAAGGGCCGGGTTGAGGATGTTTTGGGGTCTGATAGCCTACTGGTCCAAGAGCCAAGTTGAGTACTGTATAAAACATGATCAAACCACCCAGTGAAATGAGGTCCGCAAGAACCATGGAGGATTCGAAGAGCTTTTGTTGAGGCAAGTCAAACGATTCCATACAGATTTAAGGATTCCGGCAAACATGAAGTTGACATCCAGACTATGTCAGGGTTGCACGGTCATGCATGGTCCAGGATCCATTGTACTGTAGCAAGTCTAACCATCATGAAATTCCGAATAGAACGATGTTTCCCAAACACACAAAAAGCGTAACGTTACCAGTCAAAACCAAAGTGTCAGGTGGGCACTAAGCTTATCTATGGTGACCACTAAACCCCGAAAAAAAAAGGGAAACAAACAACAGCTATACACTGAACCTCATGTTTTTTGGGATCATCAAATGCCCAAGGTTCCTTTAATCTGCCTGTGCACAGGGCTTCTGAGGGCCTCGCTGGAGGTATGTGCCCTGTGCTTTCGCGGGACTGAAAAGGAACGAACCAGAGACGAGCTGCAACACTGGCGCATATGACAATTTGAATGAATCATGATGTTGGATATGGTCGTTTTTCCAAGTCGTAGTCATTTCGTAGTCATGTTTTTGCAAATAAGCATCTCTCCCAAACATCTCAACTCCCTGTCGGTCACCAGGCTTCCAACATGTCCAGTCGTCTTAGTCACCGAAATCCGCCACCATCACACCATTTCAACCAAGTCAAACAACCCAAACGCAGCAGTACCGCGCCGGTCTCCGCCGGTCTCCGCACCTCTGCACGGAGCTCCCGTGGAGCCGCACGGCGCGCACCAGGCTGTCCCGCCAGGCCTGGCGATGGAGTGACCAAAAGTGATTCTCTGAAGTGAACACCACCAGCACCCAAGGGGTGGTTATTAGATGGAAAAGACATCTTTCAGGGGGGTCTATAAACCACCCGAACTGGGTGGTGCTGGCATCAATCTTTGAGTTCTATCCTTTCGTTGGCTGTCCCGGAGCGTGCATTGCCGGACTCCGCAGACGGAGGACGCGGTACGCCGTCGCGGCAGGTCGAGTGTCGGAGAGCAGCGGAGAGCATGGTGGTTCTGGACGACGCTGCCCGGCTCACAAACACGGAAGCACATCCCCTGCGAAAGGTGGTGGTTCTGAACCACCAGTTTTTCGAGCAAAGTGCTTAAGCACAGTGCTCAGCAACGCTTGCTGCCTACCCCACGGCAGATCAAGGGACCTGGTCGGAGTGGGCTAGGAGATTGGCACACGATGACCCAGGAGAAAGACACGATGACCCTGGGGAAGGCGGACTGGCTAGCCAACCTGGGCTGCAAGGGAGAAGCCAGCAATGCAAATATTCCATGCAAGCATCATGTTACCAGATTGTATGCATGCAGAAAATGAAGGCAGTGCAGCTTCAGCCAGTAGCAAATGTTTGAAAGAATTAGCAGTTGCTGCACTGCCAGCAGCAAAGAAGCAAGAACCAATGCTTTGTGGGATCTCATCAAAGGCCTGTACCAAAATACACAGAGCACGACAAAAGGCTTGGAAGCTAACCTCGGAAGACTGCGTAATGTGACGGGTGGTGAACTGCCACCACAGCTGCACGCCAAAGCAGCTCATGTCAAAGGGATTCCAAAAGGGCTCTGGCTGTTGCTGCACCAGCTGGCATTGTGCCGCTTGCCCGGAGAAGGCACACAGCTGTCACACAAATGTGCAGCTCGATATCTAGCACAGCTGGAAGAGAATGGCCGCTTGTTGAAGTGGCAATGGATGGCCCTTGAGCAGAAAGCCCAGGCTCAGGAAGAGGATGCCAATTTCCACGGCAAGATACAGCAAGCAAAGTGGCATCATCCCAAATCATCTTGGTGCTACCAAGATGAGACTCTTGGCCATCCTCTGCAGCAAGAAAGGAACCCTAGTAGACATGCCAAGAAGGTTCTGTTGCCTTGGGCACAAAACGAGTCCCCCAGGTTCTTCAAGACTTCAGCCTGAAGGCAAAGGACCAAACAGTTTCACTCCGAACAACAATACTTTTGTGTTCGCTCCTTTGCATGTGCTATATATCCCAGAATCATCCAGAATCCTAAGAAAGAGCCGCAGAAAATCCCTTGCCAACTTCCTTAGACGGTGTGTTCCAGGCTGGCAAAAACGGGGCCCATGAAGCATCCAAAGTCGGGGTGTGCGCCAAAAAATATACCGTAATATGTGGTCAAAAGCATAAACAACCAATCCATTGGCCTCACCCAACCACTCCATCCTTGCAGCGCACTGGTGCCTTCATGTCGCTTTCCAAAACATTTGTGGGTTGATGATGAAATTTATTGAACCGTCTCATGGAATGATCATCCCCCCAAGAATATCGCGACACCTCCCCCCCCAACCACCCAGTTGTCATTTCATGTGACGCAGCGTGCTCTTCTTACAAGCAAGAGCTGAATTCCCCCCCAAACCCCCCCCCAAACCCCCCCCCCCAAATCAAAGAAACCAACCGCGACCTCCACACTCAAAAGAAACCACCTTCATCCATGTGTTGCACCCACAAACGACGACCCAATCCGAGTTCCCGACGAGGCGACGAGGCGACCCCACGAGTTCCGCCCGCGGGCCCGGCGCACCCGGACGGTGGCGCCGCGGATGGGGGCAATGCCAAGGGCACCGCCCTCGCCAACGACATCACCGGAGTTCAGCCTCGAACGACTCGAAAGGCTGGGGTGAAAGAGCCGTTGCTGGTCACCCCGCGAAAAAGGCATCCAATGTCGGAAGGTTTTGGGGGGGTTAGATCACCTGGGTTTTGGAGGGGTCAGATCACCAGGTGCAACCCGTTCATGCCATTCCGCCTCAACAAACACCCTTCGATTCCTTCGTCCAGTGGCACCGAAGAAAATTGTGCTGAGAAGAACACACCCTAGGGATCCAGTCGTACCGAACCTCAGGTACGGTGATGTGTTCGACACTGTTATGTAGGTTTCGAGGGTCTCCAGGTACCTGAAGTTCGGTACGACTGGATCCCTATAGGGACAGCTCTTCCGCCGGAAGTGAATGAATGCATGATATTTTTTCTTATATTTGTTTTTGCGATTCGTGAATTATTACGAAAGGTAATCTTCTAGGGGAAATCTTGAATTTGTTTTGCGAAGCAAATGTAGGTTCTTTCTTAGAATGGCTTATGGGTGGTTGTGGTTATTTGGGAAACACATGGGCCTAGAAAAATCAACAACGTCTGCAACAAAAACGCTGTGCAAGCCACCCAATGATTCTTGCAGATTTAATATTTAATAACGAATTGTGAAGCTTCGAAGAACTGATGGAGACTTGTCTTGCAAAAACCATGTGATACGAAGCCTGTGTTGTTCTCATTGAGCGAGATTGGAGGTCGCAAGTTGCGAACAACCACTGGTGGTTGTTCTTTGTCCTGTGGCCCCTCAAAATCAAAACCAATCTCATATCGGCATGGATCTGGCCAGAAACAAAGGCTCTAGTAGACATTGTCAAACAAAACAAACCAAAACAACTTGGAATAGTTGAAACCTTTGATTCATTTGTCAGTGGATCCTTTTCTTTCTTACTGTCAACACATGTCCCTTATTTTTTGCAAGGGTGTCAAAAACTCCGCAAACTCCTCTCGTGTGAAACTCGCGGATCAAATCCCAAAACCCCCTTCAGTTTTCCTGGAACCAAATACAGGGTTAGTTAAATATACACCTCTCCATCCTTTGCCACCTGTTCCTGCCCAGTGGGGTGTCACCAATCCCCCCAAACAGGTGACCTGAAGGTCCTGGGTAGGTCAGATCTGATTCTCACAGATACCTCCCTCCTCTGCCACAAATCGATCTCCAGTGCCTGCCCAGTTCATCGCCATATTCTCCTGACAGAGCCGCGAAGGGCGTACTGGCACCTTGTTCATGATCACAAACCTGGCGTTCGCCAAAGAGACCTACTTTGGGTTGGTAACCTGTAGAGACTCAAACTCTCCACCCTCTGTTTTACTAGATGTGGAACATTCGATATTTTGCTAGCTGCGGAGTATTCTATTCAAGTTTTCGTCTTTACACCTGGGGCCGTAGGTACATTGTGCTTTTGTCTCTACCCTAGCAAGTGGTGTTTGTATGGATATATAGCAGGGTGTTTTTCAGAGTTGACTCCCCCGACAGCTCAATCGGTCGGTCCGAACACCGGTGTCCTTCAACGATGGCAGCTCCTTGCAGCAAGATATACCTAGGTGTCACCAACCATGCAAGCACACATGATCAGTTTGGTCGTTTACACCCGCCAATGTACTCTAATCATTCGAGTATATTATCATCCCAATGTTGAAATCAATGCGTCAAACCAATCAGTGATGTACACTTGTGTAGCTGAATTCAACAAACATAGCATAACAAATTATAACTTTAGATTATGTGCGTTGGATGGTCTCTTTGTAGAGCATCAACATCCACGAACGAGGGCACCTGTTCTTCCAATTGTATAAAATACAATTAATGCATGCGTGCGTAAAGGCACTATAACGCGTCTAAAACAGGATGCGCTGCCACCTGGGACACCATGTCATGCCGAGGAACATCAAGGCCTCTCCAAGTTTGCAGGCCTCGCCCCGCCGAAAGATGTCATCACCGGGGCCGAAGTAGACCTGCTCCACACTTGTGTGAGGATGGGGCAGCAACCACCACGTTTCACCGAGTTGGATTGCCGCCAGCAATGTGTTGTGAAATTGTGAAGTGCGTGAAGCGATGTGAAGGATTTCATTACAAAATCGGTGAAGGTTGCTTGAAATTTGAAGAATGTTCCCCAAACATCTTAAAACTGACCCCACCTTCGGGTTTACCTTGAGACGCACAGCGTTGCTTAGCATTCACTAGCCATAGCCAAACGCGACCTTGTCCAGTCTAATTCAACTGCCCAAGCAACAACCAAAACAAAATCCACCATCAAACGCCTGCTTGGCTCTGCGAAAAGCCGTGCTTCAGATTTTCTCCTGATATTGTCCTTGTTCCGGCTTGGTGGCACTAGTTATAAATAAGCCAATACCACACGTACACTTACACCTGATCAACTAGGAAGCCATAAGAAACAACGATGACGCCATGGAGCATGCAGTCAGCTTGTGTCCAGTCCTCATTGTTAGTGATGTGTGCGTGGGTGGCATGGCTACGTCCGGGTGTGGCACCACAGCAGCTGTTGGGCTCAAGGGATGGACACCAAGTACAAATTGCCTTGACACGGCTCAAACGCACACTTCTCTAAGTCTGCCAAACAGCCTCCTCTATACACAGACTGGCTCGCGAGCTCCAATTGCCAGCCCCGTATTTGGTCACAACCTGTGCCCCACTTTAAGCGCAACAGCTTTTGAGCACCACATTCAACTTATATGCTAGTCCAGGCTTGGGCAACCATCTCTCACAAAGACATGCGATTTGAATCACTATGAATCTAATGACTTTGTCCGATGTGTGGCACTCTGTTTCCATTGTCCATTGTTCTCAGCATTCTTGACCCAACAACTCAACAAAAAGACAGCCTCAGCAACTTGAATGACCCTGCATATAAACTCCGGCTCAAGTACTCTACAAACCTAATTGGTTCTTGAGATTACTCGGGCCTTCAAATGAATTTGGCTGAGAAGGTCACCATTTGGGTTCAGAGTCCCAGACAGTTTGGGATCTTTTGCCACGGTCTAAACGAATGAATCCACCTCGTCCACAGCCTTCCCATCCGAACACACACCGGAACCCACGGGGTTCCCGCGGGAACCGGCATCGCGTCGATCGCTCGGGAAGCATCGGTCGATCTGATCAATCTGATCCACCAGAGTCAAGATTGACAAGAAGAAATTTGCGCTAAGTCATCCAAGAACTAACATGTTCGCTACTAGTAACAAGTGCATCGCTTCTAGTAACAAGTGCATCGCTACTAGGAACACGTGCCTCGCTACTAGTAACAAAAAGCTACTAGGAACAAGTGCCTTACTAACATGGTTACGTGGATGGTCCCGAGATCGACCATGAAATCCGAATACCAAACAGGGGGTGCCATCCAAACCATGTGAGTTCCCAGGAGTCTAAGTCATCCAACTTCTGCAAAGTGACCCTTTTGGAGTTTTAAAGTTCGCCCAGGCCGACCAGTCGGCCTCGGCCAAGGGGATCAAATTCGGTCAGCTGTTCATCAACGCGGACCTGGTTGCAGTTCTTTGACCTTCAACCACCTGGCTCCGCGGTAGCTTTGAACCTGCCCAAGTCATTTTCTGAGATTTCATGATATTTCTGGTCCAGGTCATTTGTTTTTTGTTGTTTTTTTTCTGGTCCAAGTCATTTTGCAATATGTTCTGGTCCAAGTCATTTTGCAATATTTTCTTCTGGTCCAATTCATTTTGTTTGTTGGGTCCAAGTCATTTTGTAATATGTTTTTTCTGGTCCAAGTCATGTTGCAAATGTTTTTCTGGTCCAAGTCATTTTGCAATATGTGTGTGTTTCTGGTCCAAGTCATTTTGCAATATTTTGCTGGTCCAAGTCATTTTGCAATATTTTTATGGTCCAAATCAGTTTGCAATTTGGTTTTCTGGTCCAAGTCATTTTGCAATGTTGTTTTCCAAGCAAAGCATGTCACTGAAGTCTGCGAACTTGTGAAATAGATTGGGTGAAGCGTAGGTGGCCAATCACCCACTGGATCTTCTTTTATGGAGCCTCCAGGTTGGGAGCTCTTTCTTGTTACTTGTGAAGGTGAATGAACATGGAGAGGAGTGTGACCCAGAATTCTTCGCCATGGATTCCTCTCGTTTGGTGAGAAGAGTCTTCTGATGAGAAAAGAACCGGAAGTTTTTGCCCATCTGATTGTCTGTGAATTGGGTTTTGCGACTCGCGAACAGGTTGCGATGCTCAGTTCGCCTAACAAACTCTGAGAGCTTGCCATTGGACCCATTTCCCATGTGCGTCGGGAAATTCTTGGAAGGTTCTCTCCATCAATACGACATGGGCGATGTTCTCGAACACGGCCATTGGCCCGAGACAGCCTCATCTGCACGCTCGCAGACCACCATCAAGAAGTCCTTGCTGACCTCAAAGATCGTTGTGTTGGTTAAGCGTGTGTGCTTTTTTTCCACACCAGAACCGGACCAGAACCTGGACGAGACGAAAAAGAGACACTCTCCTCCACATAGAACAGAACAAGCATGGTCGTTTAATTCCGTTTGGCCAGCATAGAACAACCATGTCATAAATGTCAAATAAACAAAGTGGGCTGCCGTTAACCGTTAAACCATCACTCAGTTATTCGAATGCTTTAGAGTATGTCCGCTGAGCAAGATATTTGGCATGTGGAGTTCATGTCGTCTTTGATTACACGGGTATCGAACGATCTTGATGGAAATCCATCACGCGCTACGGCCGAACTCTGGGGGAATGCAACATCATCCATCAATGTCCAACCAATTGCAACTAGACCCCCAGCCTTCTAAAAACCGTATAAAAGAGTTGGGTTGAGTTAGCTTCTTTAAGAGCACCTCTCAATGCACGGGTGCTTTGGTTGCCATCGCAGCGTGACTGTCCACCAATGACATCCCAGATCCTTTAGGCCCACCAAAGCCAATGAAGTTTCTCATCTGGCCAACAACAGTGCCCAAAGAATGAATCACATGAGAAACAGAAACACTCATCTGACCAACAGTGTCGTCTTTCATTCTTGTTGTTCTTTTTTAATGAATCACATGGGAAACATGTGTTTTCTTCTCATCATGATTTTATGGTTGTTCCCATTGTCCCACTCTTTCCCCCGACCCTTCCCCGACCCTTCAACGACCCTGTAGAAGGTCCTCATCCCCGTGGTGACCGGTGTTTCGGAGAAAGGTTGCGGCCCAACTCCCAGGCAGGTTTCGGGAGCCTGATGCGCCGAGCTGCGTTGGAGAAGGCGCGGCTCTTCCCCAACTGGACATTCAATTCAGAGGCTCCAACCTCCGTCTGATGGCCCTGCATGGCCATGTGGTTGTACCTCACGCGGAGGCACCGACAGATTTTGTTCAAACACGAGTTCCTTCCTTCGACTCCAACAGCTTTGAGAAGGACAACTCTTTTGTTGGTGCTGCAACACTATGGCCTAATCCGTTGTAATGATTGTGCTTCTCAATTCTCATCTGGTGCATTCCCAACACATAGGACATAGAAACAAAGGTTCTCAATCTCTGCAGGAACTTCAGTACGCAACCACACACGAAACATTATGGAAGTATCCCGGGCACCAGAACTCAAATCAGTGTCTCAGTTTGACGTGGCTTTCCAACTCACCCGTTGCTCAAGACTATCGCTTCTCCCCGAATTCCCAATCACTGAAATCCGCTGGCAGCAGCAGGAATCTGGAGGACCGCAGTAGCCGTAGTAATTAGAGTCGTAATTAGTGGAAAAACAATACCAAGGCAAATGGACAGACTCGTCCGCCCATCGTTCCGCCCAGGAACAGCTCCACGTGCGAGGGGAACTCTTCCAGGACCTGCGCCGGCGAGGTGGCGCGCGCGTGCCGCACACGACGAGCGGGGGCCGGGTTGTGCAGGAAACGATGGGCACCACAAGAGTCCTGAGACCCAATGCTTCTTGATGTCCGCAAGCAAGCCTTTCTGATTTAAAGAATACACCCGGTATCTTAAGGGCCACCAGCTTCCAATGCTTATCAAAGGATCTGAAAACTGGCTGGTTGGTGGTTTCAACTGCTTTGAAGCATAAGCGTCCGTGGGATCATCCCAAGCAAAGGTCAAACATCAAAATATCTGAAACCACCCGAGCGCTTCCTGTCGGGTGCCCTGTCTGGAGACCTGTAAGTAGTGTGGAGATATCCAGCCAGGTGACGCCTTGGAAGCTGGTATTATATTGGGTGGTGTTAGTCCTCAAGACCGAATTCCAAGCAGGAAGTCCACCCTGAAACACGCCCTTCTGTGCCTGGTGAAAGACTTCCTGTGTGAGGGCCAAAGCAATACAGCGCGTCAATGCTCTGGTGCGGTTCGGATAGGTACCTGTGGCTGCCCACATCGAAATTGGAAGACCCGACACAGAAGCCATGACACCTTGCCAGTTTCTTCGAAGTCCGCTCAGTCTGACTCACCCCAACTTCACAGTCCGACTCCAGTGACGGCTCTACAGTTTCTTTCCCGGAAATGAGCGGTGAACCGAGCTTTTCAGCTGGATTTGCCCAAAGCAAATTACCCAGACCATCCATGGGACTGGAAGAAAAAAGCTGCATTGACCCCCCAAAGCACCACCCCTGGCCTGATCGCTCAAAACACATCGCGCATGGATGGTCGGGGTTAGCTAGGTCTGCTGTGCTGCAGACGGATCTTTGGTGTGATGAGTTCCGCTTTTTCGTTTGTCTCCACTCCAACGGCTATGGTCTGCTTTCCACCACTGAGTGGGGGAATCATCACGATGTCAGTGACGGAAAAAAAAGAAACATGATTCCATCAAACACACCTGACGTTGGTGCTTTTTCTCATGAAAGGAAGAAATATAAGGTGATGCAGTGTAGTTACCCAATGACAACACCTGCTCGTCTGGGTTCCCAAAGCCGAAGTGGCTCCCCAAATGAACCTGCTGTTCTTCATGGCCCTGAGTGGCTCCCCAAGCAACTCGTCCTCCTCTCGGGCGGTTTTGTCGGGGTCACGCGCCACACCCAGCAAGACCGATTCCTCAAGTGCACGAAGCGCTGTGTATTCGAATGAGATCCCTTGACCCTTGGGTGGGTATAGACTGGTCTATTTTTCTGACTTCCAGTGGAGCTGAAGGTCTCCATATGTTC